AATTAAATGTTTTTGAATCTCTCCCACAAGTATTGATATCTCAGATATAGACGAAATTAATTTTTGGAGTGATGAACATGAATGGATGCAAATAGTTTGGGGGTTCTTTTGGGGTTGCAATGGTATTTAATACAAATTAGTTGTTATTGAAATGTGAACAATGGCAACAGCAATAAGAATCTCTATGTAATTTGATTAGATGGCATGAATGAAAGACTATTCCACTTAAAAATGCATATTTGAAATTTAAATAGGGGAAATTAGTCGTGGATGCTGTCTAATGAATTATACATCAGTAGGGAAATAGCGGGTCTCTTCGGACGAAATTATATATGGAAACACTAGACACTCGTCATTTTATCTTAATTTAGGTAATTCATGTAATTTAATGTAATCATATCTAGACTCAATTTAATACTGTATGCTAAATTTAATACTCCATTTGCATAAAATCTGAAAATATATATGTTCGAGCTATATTTAAATTTGACGTAAGGGATGATAAACGAAGGGGATGATAGATACAAAGCAACGACTAACTAGGCGGAGCCCAGGCTTATATTGGTCCCTCTTTCATCGCAATTGTGGACACTGATCTCCCCGCGGTGTCACTATGTCATCCGTTGAAATAATGGGCTGATATATGCCGCGAGTTCATCCATAAGAAGTATAAAAAAATGTGTTGAGGAGGAGGTTGAGGAGGAGTCGCCCAAATTCGGAAAACCCCTCCAACTATGTAGAAGTAACGAAAAAGAAAGCCAACCCGGCAATGTTAACGACCCGCACAAACGTATAAACGAATCTGTATTCGGAATGTGCGCATGCTGTACAGAACAGGCACAGTTTTCGCTTTGACGGATGTATTCAGGAAGTACAAAGCCGATATTATTGTCTTACAGGATGAAAGGTACTGGCGTAAGTAAATCATGTATGAAACGAGACATGAATTTGGCTGTGGATTTATGATTAATAGGAGAATAAAAGACCTCGTCTCCAGGCTTACTTCTGGAGATGAGCGAATTGCTATAATCCGTATAAAAGCGAAATTCTTCTACATCAGTCTTATTTGATTCCATGCTCCGACGAAAGACAACGATGAACAGACCAAAGTCATATTTTACGAGCGCCTAGAAATAGCATAATCAAAAATCGGAAGGGAAAATATTTTTGGTCCCACCTTTGGAAAATTCAGCCTCAATGAAGAAACATCCGACAACGACATGAGGTTGATTGACTTCGCGGCAGCAGCAAACATGGTAGTTAGCAGCACTAGATTCAAGCATCTCGATATACACTAGGCCACATGGATTTCTCCCGATCAAACAACGAGAAATCAAAACGATCTTAAGGCATTAATCCACTCCACGAATATCGATTCGGACCACAACCTTGTAGTGGCCAAGGTTGTCACAAGTCTTAATGTAGCAGCAAAGGGAGATCTAACACAACACGGAAACTCGACGTCGGAAAGTTGCAAACACAAAGCACTTCTTGTCCCGATATTAGTATAGAAGCACAATGGTAAGGATTCCCACTCCCTACAAACTGCAGCAAAAGCAACACTTGGGTACCAAAGACCACCATCAAGAAACCCGTGGTACGATCAGGAGTGTAGTGTTGCTACTGCAGACAGTAGTAACACGTAATGCCAAAGACCACCATCAAGAAACCCGTGGTACGATCAGGAGTGTAGTGTTGCTACTGCAGACAGTAGCAAGACGTAATACTAGAGAGACTTGTGGTCAGATGCTGGCCAGGAGCATGCACTAGCTGATTAGTACAATTTGGCTAGAGGAATGCATGTCCAATGATTGGAACCGGTGCACAAAACCACGACAAGACGATATGTGCCAACTATAGAGGAATTAATCCCCTTCCCTCCGTATATAAAATGCCATGCAGCGTGCTGCGTGATCGACTGAAGTCAATAGTCATTGACATTATTGGACCACACCAATGTGGCTTCAGACCTCCATTGACCAGATTTTCACTCTGAGACAAATCCTAGAAAAGACCCACGAAACACAAATCGACACATTTCACATATTCTTCGACCGCATTCGACATCCTTATCCGTTCTGAGCTTAAAGTCGGAAGGACCTCTCGGAGCCCTTCAATACTGAACGAGGGTTCAGTGTTTGTCGTGTGATCTTCTTAACATTCTGCTGGAAAAGTTCATACGGGACGCAAAGGTGAACAGAAATGACACTCTGTTCACCAAACAACACATGTTACACGTCTATGTCGATGACATCGATATAACATTGCGAGAGGTAACATCAACATTTAAAACCAGTAAGGAAAGTAGTAAAGTCGGACGGGGCCGACTACATGATACCCTTTACCACTATGGGTATATTAAACAAGACTATTAACATGAAATTGGATGAAATAAAATATGTGATATTTATCTAAATGTGAATCTACTTAGATCTATCCATAAACATGCCATTCGTTTGTTACAATGGGACAAAAGTATGTAAATCGACTTCAAACAAATATAAATATGACATCCGTTGGGCTATGTCTTCTAGAAAACGCAACTACGTTATTCTATGAGTGTTTGTTATGGAAGCTATATTCAAATGTGAAGCGATTTCGACGAAACATGTCACAGGTTAGGTTATACTAATTTCAGTACGTTTTGTTCAATTACTTAAAATCAATCTATAATAAAAGGGAGCTATATCTAAATCTCTACCGATTTTCACGAAACATGACACACATCATTCTGGACTAAATTCAGTACGCTATGCCAAATTTCGTGCAAATCGTCTTTGGCGCACCATTTACCTTAAATCGGATATATATATATATATATATATGGGAACTATATCTAAATCTGAACCGATTTTCACGAAACTTAACACACATCATTCTAGACTCAATTCAGTACGTTATGCCAAATTTCGTACAAATCGAAAGATATATAGGGACTTTGGGTCACCATTTACATGAAATCGGACGAAACTTTATATGGGAGCTATATCTAAATCTGGACCGATTTTCTCGAAACTTGGCAGACATCACTCTAGGCTTAATTCAATACGTTATGCCAAATTTCGTGCAAATCGAGAGATATATAGGGACTTTGGGGCACCATTTACATGAAATCGAACGAAAATATATATGGGAGCTATATCTAAATCTGGACCGATTTTCACGAAACTTGGCATACATCATTCTAGACCTACCAAATTTCGTGCAAATCTATATATATATATATATATATATATATGGGAGCTATATCTAAATCTGAACCGATTTTTCCCAATTTCAATAGGGTTCGTCCTTGGGCCGAATAAGTGACCTATGCCAAAATTCATCCAATTTGTACTTTGTTTACATTTTAACATGGACAGACAGACGGACGGACGGACATGCATAAATCGACTTAGAAAGTGATTCTATGCATATTCTCAAAAGGAATCATGTGTCTATCTCGTTTTCTTTTGCCTGTTACAAATATATGCACAAAGACATAATACCCTGTACCACAGTGTGGTGAAGGGTGTAACAATTTAGAAGGAATCTGCCAAAGTGGGTCTGGTAGTAAATGGCGGGAAGACCAAGCTGATGGTATCAACGCGCAAGATTTCCAGTAGACTCGGACCAGCTTTGGATCTTGAGAACTACTGCTTCGAGGTAGTCAAAGATTTTATATACCTGGGTACTAAACTAATCACATCAGTGTTGAAATTCGGAGAATGATAGTGTTGGCTAACAGATGCTACAATGGTCTATGTAAGCAGTTTAGAAACAAGACCAGACCAGACTCATACTCTACAAGACGTTGATACTACCCGTGCTTTAAATGGATCTGAAGCATGGGTACTTGCGCAAGAAGATGTGGCAGCTTTTGGAATGTTTGGGAGAAAAATTCTTTATTTATCGCCTCCTGCCTCAATTTCTTCGAATGTTTGCTATTGTGATTTTCAGTTTAGTAGATCGTTAAAAATAAAATAAACGTGGGCTTCATTCAATTTCAAATGTAGTTTTGAAAATTCCATCCGCTGGTGATGATATTATATATATATATATAAACAGCTCGGTCCACGTTGCCTGCCAATAAAGCCGACCTCACATTGGGCGTCGATGAAACAGGCTCCACTCTGGGCGACAATGAAACAGCTCGCTGCACGTTAGGCGACAATTTAGCAGCTCGTGAGCAGAGCTGATATGGCTTCATCCGAAACAACAAGATTAACTTTTTACTCCTGCCTTATTTAGGAATTTCTTCCAGCTTATGATCTATTCCATCAACTTGGGCAAGCGTGGGTAGTGATCTTAAGCCTTCAGTGTTCGCTAAAGGAATCAGAGCGACTTTATTGAAATTTGGGTTTGCTTAAGTACTAAATTTGAGAAGCGAGATTCTAATCTAGTATGAGTTGTGTAAAAATGTAGTAATATCAGTGATGTAGTTTTTGGTACTATTTACAAACTATTTACATAAGTAACCGCTCAAATGTTTAAAACAGAGTTGCGTGTAAATCATAAAATCAATAAAACGTGTTTACACTAAATAAAGAAGAATTCAGATAAAAATAAATAAAAATAATTCAAAATAAAGATGATACGTTTCAATATATATATATCATTGTCTAAAGCTAGTCAGAACGAAAATAATTAAATCACAACGTTACCCATATCTAAATTACGAGTAAATTTCTTTGAAACTGTCAAGATTTCACTCTCGAAGCCCATACTAATAAAATGGTAATCGCGAGTGGTATTATTCCATTCTTTGTTTTCAAGTTATGCGTGAAAAATGTAGCGTAACTCCAACAAAACCTATTAGACTTTAGTAACCTATTCCACTTTAGGAATGCATAAAATAAGGTACTCTTTATTTGGTTTATGTTTGATGGTCCGAAATGGATACACATTTTTTATCCACCCAGAAACGATAATTCCCTGATAAACATTTAAGAGAAACTATGCAAAAATTTCCACATGCTATCAAATGCAAAAAAACAACAATCCTTTTAAATTTCAAAAAAACAATTTATTCAATAATACCAAACAATGACCAATTATCACTTTGCTCCAATAACAAACAATTCTCATAGATTTCTATGAAATCTGAGTCCATTTTCAATATTTCAAAATCTCTGCCACATTTAAGCATTTTATGCAGAACCAATTTCGATGGCTCCAAGAAACATGCCTGGCAACGCGTACAGCTTAGCACACGATCTTCAGAGGTGTGGTGGAGAAAACGTCGGATATTGGTGATTTCTTGTAACTCCATAAAACGACCATGAATATCCGTAAGGATAATATAGCTACGACAATTGTAAATATCAGCTGATTGGCTACATAGATGATAGGGTACCACATAGAGTTCCAGCGAATTTGGACATTCCTGAAAACAATATAAATTACAAGGAAATGGTGACCGTAAGCTTTCCAGTGATTCGGAGGTTAACAAATGTTGTCGAAACCATGCTCTCAGCAATGCTAAATCATCCCGACTAGTTGTCAGTCCATTTTGCAAGTTGGCTATTTCCATGTTTGTCTGCTTGCGGGCATAGTGCAATGGCAGGATCTGACTCTGCTGTGGATTATGTTGTTTTCGCACTTTTATGTGGATACGTTTAATGCTGTATGGCTCTTGTGTTCCTAAGCTATTGGATTCACTGCGACATGCCATAAAGTTTCTCAGCTTCTCCAATAACATGGCAAAAAGCATATCCACACTTTCTCTGATGTCGTAGTGATGTTTTATTGTCAGCTCCGTTGTTTGCAGCATAAACGTCTCACCTTTAACGGTCACATAGAAGCGTACCACCACCAGCAAATGATGGCTCTGACCGCCGCCATACATGGCATAGATCGAGCTGAGTAATTCGGGTACGACTTTTATGCCAGCATCCAATAAAAATTGCTGGGTATCTCTTACGGCCTTTGAGGCGCACAGCATAAAGGACTCAACGTTTTTGCTGACAATAATTTCCTTGCTATCCATTAAGGTTGTTATCCGGCCAAAGCTCTGTTCCAACGATGTCAACGATGATGATGATGTCGGTGTAGAAAGTGCTATTGGCGTTTTAGCTGTCCTTGATATGTCGATGATGCCATCCCGGCCGATGTTGTTGTCATCCAATGTCTTTGGCTGGGACCAGTGTTTGCCATAGGCATCGGTTTCCTTGCATGAACTGCCGCATTTATTACATTCAATAACTTCGTTATTGTCGTACTGCCAACGATGAACAAATCGCCTCTGTCCACCGGAGGTGACAAACGTATAACTCGATACTGGCATAGACGACATTGTATTGTTGTTGCTACTCTAGTCGGCTACTACTACTACTTTTAACCACAGGAGTTGAAACTGGTCGGCCTTTCTGGATGGACAACAAAATGGACGTAGAGTACAAGACGAGTGAGTTTTGGCTTGTCTGGCTGACTACCGTTTGCATACGCTCCGTAACGAGTGCAATAGTAAACTGCCGCTGGTCTTCGATCGATTTATTGAATTTATAGCCGTAGTCAAATGACAGATAGGCAGGCTGACATAAAGTCAGGTACATCGTTTTGTTTTTGTACGGATTAAGATATGCTTTCATCAAAGTATTTGTTGGATTGCTCTCCCTTTGTCTTGTGTTTTTGGGATGGGAAATTCCAGATGATAAATGCAAATGTGTACGCAGCCCACTTTTCAGTGGGGGAGTGTGTGTGGATGCATTATGACTAGTTTTGGGTATTTACACAGAGTAGAAGAGGTAGCATACGTTTAGTTGGCAAATTTACTTTAGATATGTTTAAGTGGAATGCGATAACATACACAAGTGCAAGGTAATTACAGTGGCTCAATGCCATGAATGAGTGGTCGTTTTAAGGCATTATGGGTTTTAAAGTACCTGATAGTTTTGTTCATCAAATTGTTGTGCAGTTAAAAACCTAGTAATCTAATTAGCATAAACACAGGTATCGCTTTTCTTGCCGCCTGTAATTTCCTAAAATCGATTTTGCATATTTTTTTGTTTCTGTTGAATAACTGACAGGTGTTGTGGATTACTTCTAAAAATTTCCTGAAATTCCAATTGTCGGGTTAAGCTATTGAAAATAGAATATTGTGTAAACATACTGTTTAGTACTTAACATTAAATTGCCGTAGAACCGGCTGAGATAGAAATCTGAAATCTGCTAAAGTGGTGCTAAAAGTACTAAATATTATATTAAATAAAGGAGCCGGTAGAGATATATATCAGGCTTGGTATGTTGCGTAAGTTATTAAAAATAGCGATTTGCAAAAACATATATTTTTTTAAATTAGTACCAAAATTGTACTATAACGTATGTTTTATTATAATGGAACGTATGTTTTATTAAACCGGAACGTAGGTTTAACTATTTCAAAGAAAACAAGTAAGGAAAGTAGTCTGGGCCGACTATATGATACCCTTCCCCACTTTGGGTATATTCTACATATATCTCCCAACAGACGTCGCCCTTTCGAAAGAACATTGACTTGAAATTGAGCATGCATTTCTGGAACCTATGCTAAATTTCATTTGGGAAAGTTTAGAGTCGTTTGCGTACAATGGGACAAATTTGTGTAAGTCGTTTCAGGGCAAACTTGACACACGATATTCGGGAGGCCGCACTCTTCAAAATTTAATCTCAATCTGACCCGCTTATGAAATATATATGAAAGCTGTGTCTGCATCTGTCTCAATTCGATACGTTGTGCAAAATTTCGTGTAACTCGGTGCCCCATTTACCTACAATATGAATAATTGTGAAAATTGGAAAAATATAAATAATTAGGATTAATTATATTAACTGCACAAAATTGTGTGTCAATCGTACAAACTTTATGTCTTTAGGGCACAATTAACATAAAATCGGAGGAAAATATATATGGGAGCTATAACTAAATCTGAAACACGAAATTTAGCACATATCATTCTAGACTAAATTCAGTACGCTATGCCAAATTTCGTGCAAATCGATAGATATATAGGGGTTTTGATGCATCGTTTCCAGAAAATCCGACGAAAATATTATTTATCTAAATTTTTTGCCCGACTTAGCTGTAATTTAGTACTTTGAGTTCTCATTGGGTAGCAAATCTCTCCATAAAAAATTATAAATATAGGCCAATTTTTGGGGTTCTTGAGCGCGTTTTTCTGCCGAATTCGCTGAAATTTGGTACTTTAAGTTTTTATTGGGTAGCAAATCTCTCCACTGAAAATTATAAATATACGTCAATTTTTTCTGGTAGTCCCCATATAAGGGTACCCCAATTTTCGAGATTTTGAGGTTCTTGAGAGCGTTTTTCAAGCGAATTCGCTGTAATTTGGTATTTTGTAGTCGCATATTGTAAAAAATCCCTCCACCGAAAGTTATTAATATTCACCCCTTTTTAGGGGTAGTCCCCATATAACCCCCTTTTTATACCCTCCACCATAGTATGTTTTTCTGTTTGTAACTCATCGTAATAATCATTTCCGACCTCATAAAGTATATATATTCTTGATCAGCGTAAAATTCTATGACGATTTAGAATTGAAATAGATCGCGAAAATTTTGCACAGGGCCTTTTGTCTGCAGGCAGGACATGTTCGAAGATGGGATATATCGGTCCACGTTTGAACATAGCTTCCATATAAGAGTACCCCCCAATTATCGGTATTTTGGGGTTCTTGAGCGCGTTTTTTAACCGAATTCGCTGAAATTCGGTACATAGAGTTCTTACTGGGTACTAACTTTCCCCACTAAAAATTATAAATATATATCCACTTTCTGGTAGCCCCCATATAAGGGTACCCCGTTATTTTCAGTTTTTGTGGGGTTCTGACCGTATTTTTTCATCGAATGGGCTGTAATTTTGTATTTTGAGTTATTAGTAGGTACCAAATCGCTCCACAAAAAATTATATATAGGTCCCTTTTTTCGGGTAGCCCTCATATAAGGGGGTTCTTGAGCGCGGTTTTCAACCGAATGTGCTGTACTTTGGTATTTTGTAGTTGTATATGGAAGCAAATATCCCTACCAAAAATTACACAGTGATACAAAATAAAAAAAAAAAAAAATTCAGGGGTTCTAATGTACCAATCCCTGGAACACGAAAATACCTTTGGTTTTTCTGGGTCACTTCGAAAATTAGTTTTATAACGGTAAATGTAGAAAAAATGTGGTTTCAAAGATTTTCAATTTGAAACTCGACTACAACTAAACAGAATTGTAACATTAGAACCCCTGAATAGTTTTCGTATCGCACGGTGTTATTAATATAGCGCTATATCAGTCTTCAATTAGAAATAATATATAATGATAACTACTAATGTTCCGTAATTCATACAAAATGCAATCAACATTGGCCCCGTTTAAGGTTAGCCTCCAGAGGCGTATTCATACAATTTTCTTTCTGCAATATCAATTTTCATATGGAAACAGCAGCTTTCACCCAAACTCGCGAAATAAAACTTGGGAACGTTGGAGTGGATCAATGGATCCCATCTTCCTACAAGATCTAAGCATGCTTAATATAATAGGTTATTCGAAGTTTGGTTCAAATATATTAGTCCGTTCGCATGCTATTATGAAATTGATTTTTTCCACCATTTTGTGTCAGATGTACCAGAAGGAGTGGTTCCCTATCTTCGAACTTGAACTAATCAGTCGGTATAGATCTTTTTGGTATGTTTCCTATATTTTCATTTCAAGTACCTGTCAGTATACCTATGGTGGAGGGTATCCAAAGTTCGGCCCGGCCGATCTTAACCCTTTTTCACTTGTTTAATATTCCATTTTAAAACCAGTGAGCGGAGCAGAATAGTCGGACGGGGCGACCATACAATACCCTACACAACTACCACGGAACTCAAATTTTCTGCGGATGTTTATTCCGAGCCTGGGCAATATTTCGTGATATTTGCGCCCTCTTGCCCGATTAGAGGTAAACAGCGCCTCTTCCTCACACTGACATATTTTCCGAATATTACGAGTATTCAGTACAGCTATTGTCCAGATTCCCTTCACCGTAGGTTGTGTTTTATGTTCGGCTTTCATTTGTGGTCTATAGATCGACTCGAAAATAACACAAAAATTAAGTTTTCGGTCCACTTCATTCCAAAATTATTATCTGATCATCGCCGAAAATTATAAGCGTTGTTCTTGACCATAACTGGAACCTCATGGAAAATTTCAAAGCGATCAGCGGAACCTCTAGAGTGATAATGGTTTACTAAATAATATATGAATCGGATATACCTGTAAAAATTTGGGTGTAACTCCCACATCCAAACACATACAACCATATAATTGGTATTAATTTAAAGGTCAACCACTCCTCTTAGATATAATATCAACTTCTCGGGTCTATGCCCTTCATGGGTAAAAATATACGCTATAGAATACAAATTTTGCAATTTTTCACACAAAAGTCAGGGTCCATTTGACCCGCTAAATATTGACCGATCTTTATGAAAACAGGCATGCTTATTCTTTGACCCGATCCCCTTCTCCATGGAAAATTTCACGATGTTCGCACCATAACTGCGGCCTCTGGAGCGACCAGAAAAACCGACAAAAATTTAGTATTTGGTCCATTTCATCCCCTAAATATTAACTGATCTTTCCTAAAAACAATAGGGGTCTTCATTGGCCAGTACCCATCCTACATGCAAAATTTCGTGAAAATTTGTCCATAACTGTGGCTTGTATCGTGTTTACAAATTATAATGGACAGACGGACGGACGGACACACATGTCTAGATCGACTCAGCTAGTCGAGATATGACGATCGGTATACTTAAAGGTGGGTCTAGGACCAATATTTCGCGGCGTTACAAACTTTTGGGGCTGCACAAAGCTATAATACCCTGACAACATAGTTGTGTAGGGTATAAAAATCGGCTTTTTTGTTTTCGTTTTACATCAATGATTTTTGATTCAAGATCGAATGTTTGGTTGATCCGCGGAAAAGTTATCGAGGTTTTAATTTTGGGCACAAGAAAAAACTCTTAAAATTACGCCGTTTATTATTATTGGCCAAAAAGTTGACATATATCTTCCTTCGTAAAATAAGACTATGAATAAGTTATAAAAATTGCGAAAAAGTTTCACATCTTCGCGAAATATGAGAAAAATAATAAACGTATAGGAGCTTACGTCAATATTTTCATTATATTAATGACATGCATCAACATGAAAATTAATTTAAAACCAGTGAGCGGAGCAGTATAGTCGGACGGGGCCGACCATACGATACCCTACACAACTACCACGGAGTTCTAACTTTCTGCGTATGTTTACTCCGAGCCT